AGGGCTGTGACGTCGTACCCCGGTCGCAGCGCCAACTGTGACGTTCTATCCTGATCTACCACAGCGCCAGTTGTGACGTGGCCGTTCCAGGGTCCTATCCCGGTCACGACACCAGTTGTGTCGTCCCTAAACAGCACCAATTGACGCGTCTTCGCCAAGGCGCCAGCTGTTCGCTCCTCGCTGCTCCGTCCGGGTGTCGCTGCTCCAAACGTGACGTTCGCCTGTCGCGTCAGTCGTGTTGTCTCATACTGTGACGACCAACTGGCTTGGTATCGGGTCGCGACACCCAAATGTGACGTTCTAACCTTTTGGTGATTCGGTGGAATCTGGTTAGATTTGATACCAGCCTCGCCGTTCCCAACTCGCTTCAATGCCTGGTTACCAAGGTAACTGCACTGATCTTCAGTCTGCCTACCCACGTTGTGAATTGATCTTAGACAGACAAGATCAAACAGGGGTTGGGGCCGTAATGCAAATTGAGTTCAATGGGGGTGATAACACACAAATATACATAAAAGAAAATAAAATGAAAACTCAAAAAGTTCAAAGTATCAAAGAAAAAAGTAACAAACTTTATGTCTAGTTGTTCAATACATAGGACTGCATCTATCTCCTGACCCGTTCTGAGGATTGTGACACGCCGCTTTCGCTAGGCAAGTTTTAACGCTTCAAGTTGTCTGCTCTCTAAGAAATTTGTGTTTTGGTGTGTCTTTGGGCGAAAGTCGAAAAACTTATTTCTGTGGTCTGGTTCTAAGTCGCTCTTCAAAATAATTGTTCTTGGTTGAAGAGGAGTCCAAAATTTTAAATGTGAATCTTGGTCAGCTATCTTGATCTATCATCTCTGTCGCCAGGGCTGAACTAACTGTCTTCTGCCGCCAGGGTCGAAAACAACTAACTTCTGCCTGTTGGGGCCTCGTTTCTTGTTATTTTTTATTGACGCCGTCAAAAAACCGGGTTGGGTCTGTTAGCATCGGGGAGTTCCTCGATAATTCTAAATACATATCCGCCTCTTTTTATTTCTGGTTAGGGATTTTCCACTCTTTTCCATTTTTGGTAACTTTTTTCTCACTCCCACTTTCTCACCATGCTTCTGAGGGGCGTGAACTGCCCTCCCCACTTCTTCGTAAGCGGCTTCTCATACTTATACTCTGGATAGGGGCGTCGACAGTCTTCTTCGTGCGCCACGTGACCACTCTCGCCAATGAGGTCTTGGTCGGGTATCTTCCTCCTCCTTCGCGGCCATGTGATCACCACTTGGCCAATGATGTCTTAGTCGGGCGTGAACAACCCGCGCTTTGTTTTGGAAAAGAAATATACCTTTTGCTTAACTAAAAAAATTAATGATCTCTCCTCTTTTTTTTTTTTTTTTTCAAATCGCCGTTATCATGAACGGATAATGTGACAACTCTTTGTTCAACACGTGGCGTTTGTCAAGCAGTTTATCGGTAATGCATCAGACGGCTGGATTTTCCGACATGGTCTAAGAAATTTTCTCAAGTTCTCAGCCAGTCTGACGTCTCCAGGCAGCAATAAAAACATTTCATTTTCCTTCGGTTCATGTGTCTGATAACAAAATTTTATTAGCGCAGGGCAAAAGACTGTTTTGTCGAAAAAAAGCTTAACTAGTGAAACTACTTGTGTGGGATTTTAATTTTCCATACCCAGCTAAGGCTCCAAGCTACACCTGTGTTTTGTCAATTATCAAAATCTAACGTTTTCAAGTGGACTTTCTTTGGGTGAACATTTCTTGATAACACAATTCCATTCGCGCGGACAAGTGGGGAAATCGGTCAACACTTGTTCGCAGGTGGCCTTTAATTTTGATAGTAAGATGTTTTCTCGTACCAATAGTTTAGATAACACTTCCCTACCCACTCAATCTTATTGTCATTGTAATGACACTCTTTTCGCTATTTGACACTTATCCAAAATAACCCTTTTCCTTTTTATTGCCTCTTAAGCCGTGTGTGTGTGTTCACCTATGATCCGTCTCGCATTACTTTTTCCTTTTCCCTTTCTTCTTTTTCTTTTTTTCAAATCGCCTGGATGCATGGTGCCACAGGGCCATGATCAACTATGTTCTGAAGAGACCACTGGACTATCTTTCCCAAGGTCATGACAATTTACAGATAAAAGAAAAAGGATCAACTATGTTCTGTAGGGATCATTCTACTATATTTCCCAAGCAAAAGGCATCTGTGGAGCTCTATGATTGCCATATATATAATAAAAAAGCCTTTTTATTATATCCTTACTCTGTCCTGGACATTGAGTTCTACCTGGATTCTATCCTCTTGGACATTTTATTCAAAAAATATACATGTACAGTGTATCACAAAAGTGAGTACACCCCTGACATTTCTTCAAATATTTAAGTATATCTCTTCATGGGACAGCACTGAAAAAATTACTTTTTGACACAATGAAAAGTAGTCTGTCTGCAGCATATATAACAGAGTTAATTTCTTTTCCCCTCAAAATAACTCAAAATATAGCCATTAAAAGCTAAATCCCTGGCAACAAAAGTGAGTACACCCCTTAGGAAAAGTTGTCAATATTAATATACAACATGTCAACTGTCAATATTTTGTGTGGCTACCATCATTATCCAAAACTGCCTTTACTCTCCTGGGCATGGAGTTTACCAGAGTATGTGTATGCACCTATGTATATAAATTTATATATTTTGCATATGTATGTGTATATTTACCACTAATATTATATATATACACACACACACACACAACTTGAAATGTCTCAACTTTGATCTGAAAACCTTGGAAGGCCTTGCATCAAACCAAAAGGAGTCATATAAGACATGTTTCATTAAGTTAAAGGGTTTTGAAGACAGTAGACTGAAGCACTGTGATCAGCTTTGTCCTGCTCTGAAGCAGAGATGCCATGAAAATCCTGCTTTAACAAATTTCATCTGTCGGTATGGCTTTGTTGCCCACAGCAAGGCTGAACTAGAATCGCACTTAAGAAATCACAAATGAAATATGTCTTTCCTTTACCTGATTTTCTCCATAATAGCCCCTGGTAGCATGCATAAATGTAAAACAAAAGGCACCACATATATATATATATATATATTATCAATCCTTTCACCCAAAGCAAGGTAATAAAGACATTAAGAGGAAAGGGGGTTAATGATTTTAAGTGAATATGAGAAAAAAAAGAAGTGTCAGTAATATTCAATGCATGGACAAAAGATAGACTTATAAATGTATAAGATAGATTTTGATAAGAAAAATTGTCTAGCATAACAAACTTTCATAGTAGTACACCTAGCAATTGATTCAATATAATCTTTCCACTTCATGTCAGTGGAAAACATTAACTCAAGAAGGCATAATAAGTTATACCCCTGGAGGTTATATATATATATATATATATATATATATATAATATATAAATAAATGGTAACTGTATTTTTCTTTCATCACTAAAAAAAAAATCTGACCCAATGTGTTTTACCACTGCACTAAAATCTCAAATAATTGGTCAAATTTTTAAACATTTTTACATCACGCATACATTACTTTATTAAAAAAATAAAAAGAAATTTTGCTCATGCAAAGGTCAACTTGGAAAGATAATCATGGAAGCCATTTTGTCATTTTTCTGCAGTATCTTGCTTGTATTTTAAAATCCACATAAAATGTTGCTGGTATGTCTAGTCGGAGATAAAATCAATTCTATTTGTTTATTTTGTAGAATAGCATTAGACAAGAATATCATTTATGTCTCTGCTTACATATTCAATAAATCGTAATAAAATTCTTTGAACTTCATACCAGACAGTTATTTGGCAAACAAAAGGACTGATTATTGGATGTCCAACAAGTCAGTCATCAACTGAGTTTCTTATAACACTCTGCTATGTCTAGGGGCTATTTTGTGCTTGTGCAAAAAAAAAAAAAAAAAAGGAAAATACAGCAAAGGAAAAAGAAACTGAAGAAATCAAAGAGAAAAGGAAAATGAGAAACATGAAATGGTCAAGAAAAGAGTATATAAAAAAAAGACAGAGAAATGGAGAAAAAAAAGTGTGACAAGTGAAGAGAAAAAAGTGAGAAAAACAGAAAAAAAGAAGGACAGAAAAAAAGAGGGACAAACAGAAAAGAGACGGGGAAAAAAGAGAGAAACAGAGAGAGAGGAAAAAAAGAGAGAAACAGAGAGAGAGGAAAAAAAGAGGGAAACAGAGAGAGAGAGGAAAAAAAGAGGGAAACAGAGAGAGAGAGGAAAAAAGAGAAACAGAGAGAGAGGAGAAGAGAAAAAAAAGAGAAAAAGAGAGAGAGAGAAAAAAAAAAAAAAAGAAAGAGACAGAGAGAAAAAAAAAGAGAGAAAGAGACAGAGAGAAAAAAAAGAGACAAACAAACAAACAGAGATACAGAGAAAAATGATAAAAAGGACAGGAGGTAGAGAGAGAAACAAAAAGAGAGATAGAACTTTGATAGAGATAGAAAGAAAATAGAGAGAATTGGGTGAAGATATAGTGTAAAAAGATCAAAGAGAGCAAAAGAGATATAAACAGAAAACAAGAAAAAGATAAAAGAAAAGCAAAAAAAATAAGAAAAATGTTTAGAAGAATGAAAGAAGAAATTAGGAATGATTTCATAGATTTTCCAAATCCAACAGAAGAAATACTTTCAGTCAGATTCTATATTTACAACATATTGTTCACTATTAATTCCTTTGGACAGTCTTATCTTGGTTGTTTTTGAAACCACATTTAGGATAATATATTCTCTGATTCTTTTCAAGTATCCTAAATCATTGACCCAGGTTTAGATTAAGTTTTAAAGCAGAAATCTTTTATCAAAAAAATAGAGCAAAAAGTATAACAACTAATGATGTCTTTACTTTAACAAGCTGATTACAATGTTGTGACATTTGATAGATCAACAACCAAACGGACATTGAAAAAGTTGCAACAGGAAAAGATCGCGAAATGAAACTAAGAAAATCTTACTAAATTACAGCACACAAATATTACTTTTTCAGAGAGAGAAAAAGAGACGAATGGAGATGGGAAAAAAGAGAGAGAGAGAGAGAGACGAATGGAGATGGGGAAAAAAGAGAGAGAGAGAGAGACGAATGGAGATGGGAAAAAAGAGAGAGAGAGACGAATGGAGAGGGGAAAAAAGAGAGAGAGACGAATGGAGAGGGGAAAAAAGAGAGAGAGACAAATGGAGAGGGGAAAAGAGATAGACAAAAAGAAACAAAAGGATAGAAGATAGAAAAAAATTAATGTAAAAAGAGTGATAGAGAAGATAAATATAGAAAGAGAAAAGAGAGAAAATGGAGAGGAAAAAAGAGAAGATAAATATGGAGAGGGGAGAAAAAAGAGAAAAAATGGAGAGAAAGAGATAGACAAAAAGATAAAAAAGGATAGAAGATAGAAAAAAATTAATGTAAAAAGAGTGATAGAGAAGATAAATATAGAAAGAGAAAAGAGAGTGAAAAATGGAGAGAGAGAGAGAAGATAAATATAGAAAGAGAAAAGAGTGAAAAATGGAGAGAGAGAGAGAGAGAGATATAGAAAGAGAAAAGAGAGTGAAAAATGAGAGAGAGAGAGAAGATAAATATAGAAAGAGAAAAGAGAGTGAAAAATGGAGAGAGAGAAGAGATAAATAAGAAAGAAAAAAGAGGGAAAAATGGAGAGAGAGAGAGAAGATAAATATAGAAAGAGAAAAGAGTGAAAAATGGAGAGAGAGAGAGAAGATAGATATAGAAAGAGAAAAGAGAGTGAAAAATGGAGAGAGAGAGAAGATAAATATAGAAAGAGAAAAGAGAGTGAAAAATGGAGAGTCAAGTGAACAATAGAGTGCAAAAGAGAAGACAGACAGAAAAAAAAAGAAAACGAGAAAAAAGTAAAATAAAAGCAAAAAGAGAAATGAAGAAAAAATGTAACATTTAATAAATGAACACCCAAATTGACATTGAAAAAGTTGAAAAAGAAAAAAACAGAAATTGAAACTGTAGGAAAAGAAGTCTACCCCCATAGATTAAATAAAGTGTTCTTTTAAAAATTCTTTAAAAGTAACCTGGATTAAAAAGCACCTGATGAAGCCCAGAGCACAGCAGCTATAATATTGTAATAACAATAATAAAGATGAAGATAATAGTCTACATAAAAATACTATAAATAGTGTAACATAGTTTTTCCATTTAGTAATTTTGTAACCCATTAATATAAATTAAACACAACTTAATTTCTGTGAAACAACCAAAAAACATGTAATAGAAACAGTTTTAATAATTAAAACCCAAACAAGGAGATGAAGTCACATAGAGTCAAGTGGTTACTGAGTGTGAAAGAATATGTGAGAAAAAAACAATATAAAGGCGAAATGCTTAAGAAAAAAAAAAAAGAAAAAAAAAAAAAGTTATTTTATTAGCCTATCACCCCATGCAAGGTGGGAGTGCCACTAGTGCACAAGGGGTTACAGAGAGTGAGAGCAAGAGTAAAGAGGGGGGTGTTTGAGGAAAGGATATAGAGAAGGACAGGGATCAGGATCAAGGTAACAGAAGATGTCAATTGACATTACATTTGAATATTTTAAGATTATAGCTATCCAGGAAGCAAGTAAAGAGGAAGGGAGTTCTACTCTCAGGAAGTGTGAGACAAGAAGCTGCTGGAGTAGAAGAGATGGCTACATTCGACAGTGAAAGGGTGGGACCAAGATGCCAACCTAGTAACACACTTAAATTCATGCAGTTTGGCAACCAGTGAAAGTGGCTTGTCAGAGCAGTTGCCATGAAAATACTTGTAAAAAAGACAGAGGGAAGCCACAGCACATCTGTATAAGAGTGACTATAGACGAGATGCCAGATCAGGACCTATCACATAGCACATCCATCTTTGGATTTTGCTGAGGACCTTGAGATGAACAGCGGGGACATCAGACCATATATGGCAGCAATATTCCATGCAAGGATGAATGGCTGATTTGAAGGATGGACTCAGGTGAGGAAAAAACTTAAAAAGGAATTAAAGAAATAGATGATGACAATTGACATTGAAAGCAAGATGCTGGAAGACAGTTCTTTATCTCACACTTCTCACTTATGAAACTGTTTTATATATATATATATATATAGTAAAGATAATAAATCTGTTGGTGTATAATCCAAGTGGATCCTAATAATATAAAATATTAAAACTGATCCACAAAAAGTGCTCAATCTATTATTACAGAACAAATAATTAATACACAATAAAATCTAAAATCATCTCATATGATATATAAGAAGTGAGTTCGATCCTCACTGGGCACCCCATACTTTTGGGACTTGTCACACATGTAGGCTATGGTTATAAATGCACTATATTTGGGCTCCTCAATGTGGTGCAATTGTTAGCAAGCTTGTCTTCCTAGAAGAATTACAACTGAGTAGCAAGCTTGATCCTCACTGGGTGTCCCATACTTTTAGTCTTGTACCACATCTAAGCTATGCTTATAAAATCACTAGAGTACTAAAATGCATCAAATGGACTAAGCAGATTATTTGAAAAAAAAAAAAAGAAAAGAAAAAAAAAAAAAAAAACAACAAAAAAGCGAAAAACAACAAAAAAGGAAAATAAAAAAAAGAAGAAAAAACACAGGATCTGCCAAAATAATATCTCTTCAGATTTTGAAGACAACAATTTTATTGTCTTTTTTTTTTTTTTTTTTTTCAAATTAAAATTCTCTTGGTAGCACATTGCAAAATTATTTTTAAGACTTAATGAATCTGAAACACATTTTGTAAAATTTACAATTTCATACTGAATAAATAAAAATGCCTCAGAGTAACTAAGTGAATTCTTTTTGAACCGTTACTGAGATTTCAGCAAAAAAGCTTTGGTTTGTGTCAATGTAAGAATGGTTAATGACTTAGGGGAGAATGAAAATTCCAATTATTCTAATTCACTGAATTAGAAATTAGAAGACTGCATAGAAATCCAGTATGCTAGTTTTTCTTTTGAACAAATTTCAGCAATCTTTAAGCTACTACTAAAACTACAGAATGTAAAGAAATACTATAGAATTTTATATTTCACTAATTAAAAAAAAAAAAGTGAAAATCTGAATAAATATATAAACATTAATTATACTCAAACATGATAGCGACTCCTGTTTACAGAGAGATGGCTGGTAGGACTTATCCCTTTAGTGATCGGATATGGTTGTAAAATCTTATGAAAATCAGCCAGTCAGTTAAGTGCCATACATGACGATCATGTCTCATTCGATTCATGAGGGACGAGGCAGAAGATTTTACTGCAGGTTGCCATTTCTTTCTGCAGTAGGCTGGTTGATAATCAGGATTATAGAAACCAGTCTGTCTGGTTAATTAAGCCCATAGCTGAGGGGAGAAGAAATGAATTCATACTTTTCCCCCAAGAGTATTTGCACTCAAGTGAATGTAACAAACCCAACTGGAATTCGAACTCAGCTTTCCGATTTCTCATTCTATACTGATATCCATTGCCCCACCCACCTGCACATGACTCTGAAAAATCAGTATAAAATTGATAAGAATGTAATGATATGGCTGCAGAAATTGTCTGACAGTCATGACTGGGTTCTCTTGCTTGTGTGGCATGATGCAGAGTCCTGTTACAAAAAATAGGGTCTTCCAGCAGCCACCCTCTTGACCCAGGGCAGCACTACCACCTCAAGGCACTTGATGTAGGCCTCCATGTTGAGTGTGAGGCCCTCACCAACAAATCTGGGAGTTCTTGTCAGAATGCTCAGGGTTAGTTTTCCGAGCCGCTAATCACCATTAGACTCATCTAACTCTTTCTAAATCCTCTGTATTGTCCTGAGATTGACACGCAAACACTCTGAAAAGTTCATATTGGAGCTTCCCGTGCGAATACCAAACAGTACAGAATACTATTTTCCAAATTTCTGGTGTAGTGAATTGCATCATGGTGCTCTTTTTCTCAGACAGTGCCCAACTGACCCTACTGTACTGTGCTGTCAACAAAATCAAAAACAAACAATGCGCTTGCACAAAATTAAAAATATAAAATGGCGACAATTTACCCATCGCACCCTGCTCTCTCTCTCTGTGTATTTTTTTCAAATCTGAATGAACTAGAAGAAAAAAATATTTTTCTCTTTTTTGCTATAAATAAAAACCAGTCACAAGTTGTGCTCTCTTTTTATTTTTTTTGACATGTATCTTTTATACATCTTTTTCACAGATGTAGTTCGAGACACCTTGCTTGAGATATATTTATTTTAAAAAACAATTTTAATTTCTAAATGCATTAGTTTAAAAAAGGCATTAAAATTAAAACAATTATTATAGATATTAGAAAGATAACACTACTGTTCAGTCAACAAAATCAAAAACAAACAATGCACATGTGTGAAATTAAAAATATAAAATGGTGACAATTTACTCATCATACCATATATATATATATATATATATATATATATATATAAAAATAAGAGAAACTGTAAACATTTTTGGTTGTAATGTGGATTTTTAAAAAAATATATGCTTTATTTTCCATAATTTTGCTACACGTATTTCCTGTCTCATGACCTTCATCAGGCAAAGAGTGGATATTTCCACATATTATTAAAAGGAAATAATTTTTCTCATGCTTTTCAATGTTAAATATTCTCAATATTAGACATTCTCTTTTTGTGTGTTAGTGACCCAAATGTCTTCCTTGAATTGGCAGTGAAATGTACTCTCTTTTTTATTTTTTTTTGACATGTATCTTTTATATATCTTTTACACAGATGTAGTTGGAGACACCTCACTTGATGCATATTAGTTTAAAAAAAAAAATTTAATTTCTAAATGCATTAAGTAAAAAAAGGTATTAAAATTAAAACACTTATTATAGATGTTAGAAAGATGAAACTTTGCAAGATGTTAATTTGATATAACTTTTGAATGATGTGTAACTTTTTATGTAAATTATAAGCTGATGAAATTCTATTTCTAGTTGATTTCTTAGTCAGTATTGTATTTCATAATATCAAGTTTTATTTAGTTTGAAATTGTTCCACTTACAAAATATGTTTTAATATGTCTTATTATTTAAATGTATAATTTTAATTTATACACATTTCCAGAATGATTCATAATCCACATGTGGAAAGCAGTTCAAGATTATGCTTTAGGAATTTTTATTTTAGTGATTATGCTTTAGGAATTTTTATTTTAGTATTTCAATGATTCCCTTATAAAAGAAGGAAGCCAATTGATCTGATTTTTATGAAAAAAAAAGAACTGAATTTAAAAAAAAATTCTTTTCATTGGTCTATAAACTTAATTTACTTCATGCACTTGACTAATCAGGAAGCAATATTTATTTAGAAGCAATTCTTTACATTTATAAACCAAACGATTGAATATTTAAACAGGAAGTAGTGACCTCCCTTGAATTGAAATATATTCAACAATGATGAAAATTTTTGTCTACAAAGGAATTTCTCTAGATTAGGGTCAAATGCTATTTTAAAGTAATTTCCTGTTAATTTGTACCACTCAGACAACTCATCAATAAGGTTATGGTAACATCTTGTCTGGGGCAGAGATGATCTTATCTGCAAGAAAACTAAGCAATTTTACAGAAACAAATATTTCAGGTAACAAAGATGTATTAATGAAATTATTAATGCATGAATTATTTACATGCATATGTATTGCTATAAACTTTATATTTGCACATCTTTGAGTGGACATCCCAGGTTTTTTAAACAGGGTAATTTAATGTTTACCAGCTGAGGCATTCAACAGTAAACATATTACACAGCGTTAAAAAAACAAAAAAAACTAAAAAAAACAGACATTTACTAAAATATGTACATAAATTTAAATATGACATTTATATAGTAATAAGAAATGATGATGGGTTATAAATAAAATCCATTTATTCATTAGATTATATAATGAATAAATGGATTTTATTTATAACCCAATATCATCTCTTACTATAAAATTATATATATATATATATATATATATATATATATATATATATATATATATATAATATGCGTAGGCATGCAGAAAATAGAAAAGAACACGTTGGGTGCATAATCCGGGGTTCCTTAATATTTTTGTTTTTATTTTTAAGAAGACAGTGCTCCATACATAAGTAGAGCTTATATTATAATAATATTTTTTTTTTTTGTTTTGTTTAAAAATATGATTCCTTCGCTAAATCATATTTTAAATATGAATCATATTTTTAAAACAAAAAAATAGGAATATTTAATAGGAATCGTATTTTTAAACAAAAAATATTATTTTATATATATATATATATATATATATATATATATATATAATAAAAAAAAAGAACAGTAAGGTATATAATCCGTGTTCTTATTGATTTTTTTATTTTTACAAAACAGTACTCAATGTAAATTTACAGAGCATAAATATTATAAATTAACTGATTTAAAATATTTTAAATCAGTTAATATATATATATATATATATATATATATAGAGAGAGAGACATACATACATACATATATATATATATATATATATATATATATATATATATATATATATATATATATATATATATATATATATATATATATATATATATATATGAGAGAGAGAGACATATATATATATATATATATATATGAGAGATATATATATATATATATATATATATATGAGAAACACATATATATATATATATATATATATATATATATATATATATATATATATATATAAAGAAAGAGAGACAAACACACATAATTAAAAAAAAAAATGATGCAATGCAGTTCTATTGCAAAACATTTAGATAATAGTGAAATGAAAAGTTGCTGAAAAGTTTTCAAAAGGACAACATCCGTAGTACACACTTATTAATGTAAGCAGAGTTTCAAATTTGACATTTGTAAATAAAACAAAATACATTATCTCTTTAAGAAGTCATGGTTTGATTTCTCACTGTATTTATATTATGAACCGGACCTCACTTCTAAAATGATAAAAATTCAATATTTTTAGCTTCTGACAAATGTTGTGGTTTGAGGAAGGTCTAATGAATGTTGATATAACAAAATTTATTCCTCCCAAAATTCTTCCTGGTTTTTTGATGAGATCAGATCAGTTAATTTTACAAGTAACATTTTTATTACCAAACTGTGAGAAAATATGTGCACAGATTTTGGGAAATAATTGTGGTATCTGTTTTTAAAGACTCCATAAAATAAAATAAAAAATAAATTGACAGGAATTTGGATGTTTAAATTATTAGCTTAGAACAAAATTTCAATCAGATCAAAGATTTTAAAGTTGATTTTAATAGGGAAAGGAGAATGGAAATATTTGTATCCCAAATTAATTTTGGGTTTAAAGTATCTGAGGGGTCAAATCCTGACAAGTTTTCATTTATAGCAAAAAAAAAAACTTAAAAAAAATTCAGTTCATTCTAATTTGAAATACATGCATGTATACACATACAATACATAGAGTTAAAAATTTTTAAAAAATTTTAAAATTTTAAAAAATTTTTCTGTCCTCCTGATTACTCTTCTTTTGTTCTTGCTACTTAGTAAAGTTTCTATTTTCTAATTCTTCCACACCCAGTAATCCTTTATGTCTTAGTACCTTTACTGTCTTGCTTAGGGTGAAATCGATTAAAAAAAATTTAGATAAAAAAACTAAAGTTTAAGTACTGATAAAAACTTTATATAAGACATTTTTTTCTAAATAATTAATGTTTTCTACACTGAAAAATGAAAACAAAGGTTATAAGTAAATGTTGGTAGTATATTGGTATAAGTAAATGCTGGTAGTAAGTCAGTATAAGTAAATGTTGGTAGTATATCGGTATAAGTAAATGTTGTTAGTATGTCACTATAAGTAAATGTTGTTAGTATGTCAGCCTGCTTACAAATGCTTTTTTGTCATGAAACATTCTTTCTATCTAGGCAATTCTTGTGTGTCAATTACAACAATAAGCTGGCTAGAGGTCAAAATGGTGCCTGCAGTTTTTTTGAAGCAGACTAGAGGTCAAAATGGTGTCTGCTGTTAAGTGAACAGAGCAAGCCAACTGCCACACAGGTTTAACAGAGTTTTCATTCTTTGTAAGTGCATTACAATCTGAATACATGCTAAGTTTAGGGGGTTGAAAAAAAAAAGTTCTATATGAGTGAATATTTTTATGCCAAATTCAAACTGAAAGTGATGATAAAAGTTACAACTTTGGATAGAAAAATTCACATTTCATTTACAGTAATTAAAATATTATTTTTATATATATATATATATATATATATATATTTTTTTTTATAAGTTATTGTTTTTGAAGTTTTTAGTGTGTATTTTCGTTAAAGTAAGCAGTGACACAATTACAATGCAATATGAAAAATATTTAACATCACATATTTCCTGACAAAAATAATTTCAAAGCATGCCATTCAAACTGACACAAAATATTTACAATATGTACATAGTTCAGACTCATTGTTATTGCCACATTCACAATGTTTCAGCCACTGTACACTCCAGCCTTCTTCAAGTAATATTAGTTGGAATTTTGAAACAAACACTTTATTATCCATGAGGGTGAATTGTTCTAATTCCACGTGCCATGCCTTTGAATATCTCAGTTTCAGTTAATTCCCCTTGGTAACTAAACTCAAGTGACTTACAAGGTCTATGAAGGAAGTTCTTTGCTCATTCCTGTTTTGTACCAAAAAACTCAAAGAAATAGTGGGCAAAAGATGAAAATAAAGTTCTACAATATCCAGAGATCAAACTTTTAGGTAGATCATCTAGCAATCAGAATTTGTGGGTAAAGAAAGTTTATGCGAACTGGGCCATGCTAACCAAAGTTTCTGGCTGTTTTACCCGATTTATGAATTTGACTTCTATTTAAAAAAAATTACTGACTTAAAATTGTTGACTTGAAAGCAAAATTTTAAAAACTTCTGATTTGCTCACTTGTGTAGAGACAAAATTTTTATATTTGTATTTCTGTTCTTGAAGTGGGAACATCCATAAAAGCGCTTGTACAAAACATTACAAAATCATTTCTCTTAAATTAGAGTCCTCCATCAATACCTCATCATATTACTAAGCTTTTCCATTTCAATGTAGGAATGCCTGATCTGTACAAACAGTATTATGCTTTTAACAGAAAAGAGGAAATGTATGAAAAAGTTCCCTACTTAAGCAATCAGAGCTGGTATAAATAAGGTAGTTCCTGTCCTATTTTGATAGCAAATATATTGATCATACCTTGCTCTCACAGTATAGAAACACGCATATAAATATATGTGCATAAAAAACTGAAAAATCTTGCCAAAGATCAAGGTTGGAAGACAGTTAACTTCCAAACCTTACTGCTTATTGAGTTGGTCTCCAGTCAGTGCAACAGAGGGGTGCTGTGAAAAAGGTACAGGGATTTTTTAAAAACTGACTCTTGTCTCTTATGGTACTAACTGCTACAAATAAATGGGTGACTTGAGGTGATGGAATTATAGTGACCATGTCTTGTTGATTATTACTACTATGTAAGGAGTTTGATTCATACTGAATGCTCCATACTTGTCACCTTGTGCCAAACTAAGCTTAATAAATGATGGCTAACACAAATGGATAATGGAGGTTACTGATAGGCCTTGGTACCACAAGTATTTCCAGGGATTGTTGTCAGTGAGTCAATCTGTAGACTCAAGGCACAGGAAAGAAAGCATCACCATAAACTTAAAACTCCTTTTTATTTTCATCATTTCATCCCAAGCAAGGCAATAAAACTACTAAGGCTCACAAGGGGTTACTATTGAGCAAAAGAGACTGAGAATGTTACTGAGGAGAAAGAACAATAAAAGAACAGAATTCAAAAAGACCTTGATTGGCATTGCATTTAAATTTAGGAAGATTTTAGTTATCAAAGCAAGAAGCCAGAAAAGAGTTCCACTGGCAAGAAATGTGAGAGAAACTATCAGATTGGAACTTATGGTTACATCTAGTAATTTTGACAGTAAAAACGAGGAGACCTAGTTGCCAATCTAGTGCTACACTTAAATTCAAGTTAAGGTGCCAAAGAGGAAAGCTTTTCAGAACATTTGCCATGAAAATATTTATAGAAAAGGCACAGAAAAGGTATGTTATTGTGGGAGGAAAATGATTACCATCAAGATCCTTTCAGTCTCTCATGGGTCTTGCCAATAACTAGTGATCCCGGAAGACTTTCTCTTTGATTCTTACTTATGAGGCAAATCTGTAATGTGATGCATATGCTGTCAAGAGTTTTTAAAAGTTATATAAACAATATGAAACAAATAAAAGACTGAACTATTATAAAGACTGATTGTTATCCTTTACTGAATACCAAGAATTCAAGGCTTACAGCCACATCATGTTGAAACACCAGTTCCTGTAAGATCACCAAGGTTAAGCAACACCAAGCCTGATCAGTGCCTAGATGGGTGACTGTTTGGGAATACCAGGTGCTGTAAGCTTGAATGTACATGAAATGGATAATGGCTTGGAATTTTTAATTGGAGAGTCGAGTTCCAATTCCAGTTAGGTTTGTTATATTCACTTAGGCACAAATAGCCTTGGGAAAGGTATGAATCCACCTCTTATCCCCTTCAGCTATGGGTTAATTAGTAAGACTTCTATCACTAAAAATATTATCAAAAAAAAAAAAAAAAAAAAAATTTCATACAAAATATTTAGATTTAAGCATTAAAGAGGGCGATATGCTGCTGAACAAATCAATGAATCAGAATTCAATTTGTATGACTGTAAATACTTCCTAGCTGGTGATAAAACTTTTTATTCATTTTAAGTCTTTATATTTTATAAAACTATTTCACCATAGCATATACTAAGAAACCCATTTGTTCCAATGAGTAATTACAAATGTGTCAGTGGATATGTTTAACTGAAGTCTAAATATATCGTGACTTAAACACTATTATTCATTCAACTTATGTCATTTGAATGTTCATATTTGCCCTCTTTTTGAGTTTTTAACAAATAATTTGGTTTATGATTGAATGTGCTTAACATTTAGCACTCTGCATCATTTATAAATATTACTCCCCACCCCCTTTTACTGTATATGGAATCCCCTTAAAATATAGTGTTTTATATATTAGTTCTATATATCTGAAATTGCAATAGCCTGACTCAATTTCAGTTAAGATTGTTTTAGGTGTTGTCATAGAAGGATATGACTACACAACCAAGAAATTCAATTTCAATTTGCATTCTACTTGGTGAAAATAGTCACCTACAGATTGCTAAAGTTAAATATAAAAAGAATGGATCACTTTTAATCACTTCCCAAAATTTCAGATAACACTACATAAATAACAAGACATGTTAAATTTATAAAGCTTTTCATACTTGTTCTTTATTTATTCATCAGAAACTGAATAAAGTAATTAAAATATATTTTCTTTTTGTCGTAATGATTTATAGGGAAATTAACGTTTTGTTCTCTGTGAGGTACTGGTTAGTAAGCTAATTGAACAGACTATTACTGATGTGTAGTGAATTTGTTTCTCATTCTGCACTCCACATTTATGGCCTTGTGTTAGTCTAAACTAAATGTGATAAATACTTATAAATAAGTTAATCTCATATTTTTATTGACCTTACTTTTAGCAAAGAATAACATTTTAAATTTTAAGTTATATAAGCTTTTTTTCTTCTAATTAGAATACATTTAATCAGAATTATTTAGCACTTCTACATCATCTTTAAATAAATCTTGCACTTTTACTGTATATGGAATTCCCTGAAAATATAGTGTTTTATATATTAGTTCTATATATTTGAAATTGCAGTAGCCTGGCTCTCAATTTCAGTCAAGAGTGTTTTAGGTGTTGCTATAGAAGGATATGACTACACAACCAAGAAATTCAAATTCAATTTGCATTAGCAGGACTAATATTCTGCTTGGTGAAAATAATGACCTACAGAGTGTTAAAGGTTGAGGAAATTTTGTAAAGACCAGAATAAATGGTAATTGAAAGATACTCACCATATTCACCTGGTATTGTAAGTAAAAACTTCCCACCCAATTATAACAACTTTTGTCTGGTCACTAAATAAACATACTGTCTGACATTATTCTAATATTATATTGTTTCCTTTTTCTTAACTAATTCTGAACACTTTTCAACAACTGCTACTTTCAGTTAGTTTAATTGGGGGCAATACTTGTTTGAATCATTTGCTTCTCAAAGAGCTCATAGTAAAGGAATCTCTTCCAGTCCTACCATACACACAGCATCACCTTTTTTGGTACAGTAAATGTGATCCATTTTGCTTGCCTCATCATCTTTTACTTAACATGTTTTTGTAAACCATCCACTTTTTATTGCCTGTTACAATTTGTTCAGGTTTCTAAAAGAATTTAATGCCACACAAGATGTTTTCATTACTATTATTTCTATACTAGTTTTTATTCATATTATAGTAATAATGAAGCTTATATCAAGCTAATCCATTGTGATACAAAGCTGCAACAGTATGTATAAAGTTAGTAATAAAATAATAGTAATAATGAAGAGTGTATCAATTTACAGTATTGTGACAAAAATTATAGTATTTGTAACTTAGGTCTTGATTTATCAAGTAAAAAAAAAACAATCTTTTTCTTTTGTTTTTTCAACATTAACTTTTTTGAACAATATACTTGCCATTTTGCTATATCATCTTTTGCAATTTACAGGTGACTTTATAATTCTACCTCTAAGAAAGTTTTCTTTCTCAGCAAAAAAACTACTGTAAGGATTTTTTTCACTCTTTCTGGAAACTGAAATATTTTTCATTAACATTTAGCACTTTGTATCATTTATAAATATTACTTCCTCTTTTACTGTATTCGGAATCCCCTCAAAATATTGTCTTTTATATATATTGTAACCTAAGGAAGGTTACTGAATAGAATAATCACACAAAGGTTGGTAATGAATGATAATATTTAGGACAAGAACAACACATATGAGATTCGTCAGCAGTGCACAGAAATAGTAGTCAACTGCTAGAAGTGAGTCAAGTGAATTCCACAATGAATCTCCAACTGCAGACCAATGTACAGTATTTATTACTGTATTTATGAGAATGGAGACATACCCATTATTGGCCATAGGTATGCTACAACAATATATTAGTTCTTTATATTTAAAACTGCAGTAGCCTGGCTCTCAATTTCAGTCAAGAGTGTTTTAGGTGTTGCCATAGAAGGATATGACTATACAATCAAGAAATTCAAATTCAGCTTCAGTTGGCAGGACTAACATTCTGCTTGATGAAAATAGTCACGTACAGAGTACTAAAGGTTAATAATGTAATTATTATTTATATTATTTTAGTATGTATGTATGTGTATGTATGTATTTGATAATTATCAAAGAAAATATTTGATAATTATTAATTTAAATTAATAATCGTACCTGGAGATGTAAATTGTAGAAAGTAGAATTTGGAATCTCTTTTCTTAGAGAATCATATATCTTCAGGTCAGTGACTGTCATAGCTACTGAATTTGCCTTTGGCAAAGAGATAAAACAACTGCTGCATAATAGACTTAATTTGATGAGAAATAACAGAGCAGACAAAAGAACAGTACTACACCATAAACAATGGCTTCTTATAAAGAAAAAGTGCCTTCAAGTATTAAGCAAAATTGTAAATATCGTAATATGCCCTTTAAGAATGTTTCTTTTCTCTCTCTCTCGTCCAGTGTGTGTGTGTGGGGGGATATTTAGTAAGATCAGCATTGTCTGATAAAAAGCCACAAATTTGGAGCAACAAATTTGTATTAGACTCACTACAGTAGTAATTGTGAGAATAGTTTGTGAGGAACTATTTAACATTACTCAGTGGAGTAATGGATAGTGGCTCGGATTGAGGAATCGGAGAGCAGAGTTCGAATTCCAGTCAAATCCATTACATTCACTTATGTGCAAATACCCTTGGGAAAGGTATGAATCCTCTTCTTCTCCCCCTACCTATGGGTAAATAGCAGGACAGATTAGGTTCTATAGCTTTGGATGGCAACTGGTCTACCATAGAAAGAAATGGCAACATACAGCAGGAAAAAATCTGCCTTGCCAGTCATGTATCGAAAGATATATGATCATCTAAGTGTGTATCAGGCATGGCACATAACTGACTAATTTAACATTTAGCCTCATTTATAATTACTACTTCCCCTTTTATTGTATATGGAATCCCCTCAAAATATAGTCTTTTATATATTACTTCTATATATTTGAAATTGCAGTAGCCTGGTTCTCAATCTCAGTCAAGATTGTTTTAGGTGTTGCCATAGATGTATATGACTATATACAGCCAACAATTTCAAATTCAGCTTGCATTGGCAGAATTAACATTTTGCTTGATGAAAATAGTCACCTACAGAGAGCTAAAGGTTAATGAAGAGAAGCAGAAGATTGAAACAAACCAAATAGAAATTTAATTACTCCAAAATGAACTAATTAATGACAAGAAAATTCATTACAATCAAATACATGAAAAAATGTTTAACCCAATAATGAATGTGATTGCTGGTTTTGTGAAAATCAACCACTTGATATTTTAATATTTCAACTAAATGAGAAAGGAATATAAAATGAATGTAAAGCTTAAGTAATCTGGCTATGTTTATTAAACCTGGCATAAGACTACTATTATAGAGCACTCACTAGCAAACTGCATACATTGAAGAGTTAAGATCTGCCATGCTAGGTAAGGTAAGTTTTTCTGAGGAATGAACTCTATGGAAATGGTTTGTAAGATAACAACATGCCATTGCATCTGTTCCATCAATGGCTTACATTCAAAAATTGGAAAACTGTAAAGAGTGGCAATTAACAAGCCAAAATATACAAAATTATAAGCGGCTAAGAAATTTGCATATTTTTACATACAATTTATTTAGATAAATAAAAGAAGAGCTTTTATCTATCTATATATAAAATTCTGTGAGTTCTGTTCATCTTTCTGTCTGTCTGTTACACCCTCTACAACTGCTATACATTGAGTGATCAAAACCAAATTTGGGGGTGGATTGCAAACAAGGGGGTGCAAAGTACAGTTGGTTCTAATAAGGTGCATTAAAACTGTAGGGTTTTTGTCAAAGTATTTTTTACAAACAAATCAGCTTATTTAAATTTCATTAATTAGTTTATGAAATTTAAAAGAAATGTAAAGTTTGTAAATCTCAACAAAAGTGTTAGCAATAACTTCAACAATGCTAAATACCGTGAGGATTCCAACACATACATTAAAATCAGGTTGAAAATATCAAATTTTAAGTGACAGAATAAGGTTCAATGTTAACAATTTTACTATAGAAATGCATTGAAAATCAAAAAGAAAAGGATTGTCAGTGGTCTGGAATCAATAGCAACATTAGTGACAGAATAAAGTTCAATGTTAATAATTTTACTATAGAAAAGCATTAAAAATCAGGAAGGAATCAATTGTTAGTGGTC